TAATGCAGTGAGAAAAAATGAGGGACAAAAAGAACTACCTGTTTATTCTTTAGCTGAATGCTGTGACTCTTAGATATAAGGGAGTAGTATCCTTTAAGTCATAAAAGATTTTTTTCTTTCTGTGCTGATGGAAATAGCTAGGTTCTTTCTGAAGAGCCAAGTCTGCAACCTGATTGAGGTAGGAATTTCTATACTACTTTTCTTTTTCTCCACTCAGCACTTACCCTGGGCAAAGCTGCCAAAAAGAAGAATTTCATCATCAGGATAAATTGTGCTTTATATTTTGGACTCTATCATCATTCTCCACCCAATCCTGGGGAAGAATGGGGACACTTCTCACATTTTCTAGCTATCCACTGTCCTCGTGTGTCCATCTCTTTAGAATTTCATAGATTGGTATCACACACACCATCCATTTCTAAGTACAGGGCATGATGATTAAGCCACTTGAGGGAAATAGAGGAAAATATTGTTTAGCATCTCTTTACAACACTGTTTAAATGGCAGAAGGTCAGAGTCTCATGCCAGGCATTTCAAAAAGTCCAAGTATTTTTTGTTCTACTAGGAAATCTGTTGTCTTGACAGGAAAAAAGATTTAAATAAAGCCTTCTTATCTGCCTTCTATCTCTTCCAGAATTAATGTTCCTCCTTCCATTTTCCCATAGCTCCTAGTGCAAAATTGTATCAACATTTCTTCCATTGTGCTATAAATATCTGTTCCTGTGTCTTTTTCCCTGAGTAGGCTTGAGAGTTCTGTCTTTCATTATCCTCTTGGCATGATTGATCTCATTACTTTGCCCTTTTACTTTGCCTCATATATTTCCTGTTGGTACTTTCCAGTGTCATTTCATTATGGCACCGTTGAAGTAATTTAAATGCGTTCGGAGAATATACATAATGTTGGGAAGCTTATTCTTCAATGTGAACGCCACAGCTTTAAACATTAATAAAAAGACTTTAATTTTGCCCTTGTTTCTAAATCCCCCATAGCCTAAATAGTCTGTTATCTCTTCTGCAACCCCAAAGTGTCTCAAATTAAACACCACACTTCAGCTGAAGTCACAGCCAGTGAGGGAGATTGGATTGCCCTCTTTTCTGGAGGACAGACACAGCAGGTATTGACTATTTCAGCAAAATTTAACTCCTAAAGGCACTAATGGTGCCATTTGGCACTAAAGCATTGTTGGCAATTAAATCTGAACAATAGAGTTAGGAGCAAGAAGAAAAAAATTCTATCAATAAAATTCAGCGCAGGCAGACAAGTATGTGGTCCGCATTTGATGGAGGGATTATACGCATACATAAATAAATCATTAAAATTCACCCACTAGGAGTCGGCTCAATTCATGGTGATTTGAGTTGCTGCAGGGGCAACAGCAAATCTAAACATAATTTGTTTGTTTGCAAGATGAAAAGGAAGAATTTGACAGATTTTATACATATAAAGACAGTCCATTTCTACACGTATAAAATGGCTAATACAGTATTTCAGTAAAAATGTACATCACATTTTCCAATGGGTCTTTGCTGTTTAAAAAAATGGAAAAGAATTAAATTGCTATAGTCCAATTCTGTTCTAACAGGTTCCATCAAAGAATTGCCTAAATTAGATGGCAAATATATAATGTACTATGAAGAAGTGATCAGCCTATACTGAATCCGCCACATGAGTATCTTATGAAAACCTTACAACAGCTGGCTGAAGCAGGTTTATTATCTTAATTTAAAAGTGAGTAAACTAACAAATGATTTTGATCTTGCCCAGTGAAACATAGTTGAACAACAAAAATAATATTCAGCCCAAGTTTGCTTTGGCTCTAACATTTATGTTCTTTCCATTGCTTCATGCTGGTTAATTCAGTTTCAGAATTTTGTATTTCAAATCCTGAATAGGTCTTTTCTATTTAACATGTACATATACATATACGTACACATATGCAAGAATCCTCAAGCATGTGCACACACACACACACACACACACACACACACACATGTTTTCTTCTCTGTCAATGTCCAGTTGAAAATTTTTCCTCATCCTAAAACCTTTCCTTTCTGGGTCTCCAGTGGCATAAATGGCTTCCATCATAGGATTCTCATCTTAAGAATATATTATCGTTGGGAAAGCTGGGAGTGAGGAACTATTATATTCTTGGAAATATTTTTTTATTCTCGGAGAGAATAAAATCATTCGCAACCTAAGAAATAAGTAAAGCTTCATTTTTATCTTCCATGATGTACATGATTTGGGGCCTTAATAAGTGTTTAATGAAAACATGTTAATTGACTTAGCTACAACTGAATTACTATTTGATATTAGTGAGCAGTACTTCATTTCACACATTAGTGCTGCTTCAGTGAAGTTGGGTAAAATTATAGCTATTTTATGAACCATGTGTTTAAGTGAAGTGCTTAGCAGGACCTTGTGGAGAACTTTTTAAATGTAAAACTCATAGTACCTTAGATATGTTCCAGTCTGACTTTTCAGATATTACCTTTATTTGAAAGAAGGGCGTACCTGTAAACCTAAAAAGGGGTTAAGGAAGTACAGAATAAAGTTCAATGAAGATAATGTTAGGTTCATATACTAGCAAGTATGATAGGCTCACTGATGTTCACAGGAACATATTTAATATTCTGCAAGTACTGGCTTTCTCCTTCATCAAGTCCCTACTTCAAATTTGCACTGTGATCCTCATTTTTTTCCTCTGGAGATGAAACTAGGTATAAAAGATTAGTGAGTAGGAGGAAGGAAAGGAAAATTCAATCTTTTATAAAAATGGCATAGAGTTCCCTACTATGAAAAACAACTTGAGTCCTTGTTGTATCACAAATTTCCCACAGAGTCCAGGAAAGAGTAACAATATTGTTTTGGGAATGGGACGGAGTCATTGTCTTAAGTGCAATCCTTCTAGATAATAAGGTTCATAAAACAAAAGCTCTGCCTTCTCTCCAGTTATAAACTGGCCAAATTTCCTAATACATGCCTTTTTTTTAACAACAAGAAACTTTGAGATTAACTATTGTGGCCAAATACATTTCAATGTGAGATACAAGAAGGTCATATCATCACATTATATCCCAGATTTTTACTTTAAGAACACTTGAAAAAATGGTAATGTGTCATAAATTTAATACACAGAAGTCTTTTGTGATTCTAAGCTTACGTGAAGAAATCATTGCATATGACTGTACACAACTTCCTACTGTATAACGTTATAGAAGACTCTAAAATTAATCATGGAATTTTAGTGCTCTAATTGTATTGTGTACAGAGAAGAAGAGAATATAGAGAAATATTGAAAATATAAAAGGCATTCTTTATGAAAATTTCAGGAATTTTTTGAGAATAGAATTTATATAACATCAAACTTGATGCTGGTTAAAAAGAAAATCAGCAGAAACTAACAACAATAGGCTAAAAAGCATGGCTTTAACACATGACATTTTGGAACCCTTCTGGAGAATGTATTTAGATTCATGATCCTCAACACCGATTGTATATACTTCCTACACACGTGTAGTGCCCTTGAAACCATGCTCATATACAGGCTCCATCCCTGGAAAGGCTGAACCAGCAGGTGGGGTCCCATACTGATAATTTTAAATTCCTTCAGGAGATCCTGATACATAGCCAGGATTGATAACCACCGATTTAGAGCCTCTAGGTAGAATCTCGTGTCTTTATTAGTGCATATTAGAAATATAGAACAGTGATGTTCATTTGGAGGAATTGGGACATGCATATAATGTATCTTCATCATTTTCTTTTTTTAATTTACATATTAATTGTTACATTTTAGGCATACAATACATTTACATTTATCATTGGGTGTTTGTACCTGAACATGATGTATCTTAGTTCTTATTTTTCCCCCATTACCTATGTGCCCTTCACCCCTAACACCCTTCATTTTCAATTCATTTAACCTCCTTTCCTTTCCTTCTTCCCACCCCTCATCTCCTTCCCTATTTCCAAAAGCCTGTCTACCAGTTTCCCAACATCTCACCTTTATTTTATTTATATATTGATATTTTCAGTTTCACATATGAAAAAAAGCATTGCTGGTAAACTTTGTTTTGCTTAACATGATCACTTCTTTTTAAAGCTGTTTGAATTCTGTACTTGTCAGCATCTACTTACTGAAAGAAGAAGCTAATATCGGTACTTAAAGGCTCTATGTTTTAGATAGAACCTTAGTTTATGGGCCTCAAATAGGATTATTTTGGATTTAAAATCTACAGCAGATGCTGCTGTCTTAGAGAGCTGGCAGAGTCTGAACACAGCTGTATGCTTCTCATTGCTACACAGGCAAGAAGCAATAGTAATGGTGCCCAGGGACAGAGTCAACATAACATCTCTGTTTAGGCTATAGTGTTCCACCACAAAGAACATTTCCATGAATGATAGAATTCATTGAAATCTTACTATGTGCCAGACACTTGCATTAATTTTTATGTAATGGCAGAATGAAATGGGTGTCATTATTCCTACTCGAGAAGAATATTAGTACGTTTATTTACCATTTTCTCTCCTTATGATGAAGAAGCAACATAGAAGAAATTGAAGTCCTAAAGCAGGCTGTGTTGGTAACACCAAACCATGAGTAGATTCAAAAGTCTTACATCTCCAGACAGGCTCTCCATTGCCTCAGTTTGCCACTCCAAACCAACAATCACCACAACTCAACAGAAATACATGAAGAAAACATCTCCCTTTTCCTTTCTTCTGCACTCAACTTGAAGCCTGTTTCAGTAAATATTATAGCAGAAATGTTAATGTTGTAGAAAACACTAATTGGTGATATAGTCTAGTTTTTGTGTGATGACAGGGATTCAAATTTCTTATCCCTGCTTTTCTCCAAGAGTAAAAAGCCTTTGAGTAGCAAACTTTAGGGACTCAGAAGGGGTAGGAACAATCCTTATATTTGAGGTAGATCCTGAAATACATGGTTCATAACTCCCTTTCTAGAACTTGAAATACCATCTTAGAAACTACCTACCAAAAGATGAGTAGGATGGCAGGAAGTTAGATTACTCAGGACGTGAACCTAGGCCGTGTGGGAGACTGCTGGCATTGATCAAGGCTTCTTCTGAAGAACAATGTGTCCTACACCCTCAGTTCTGGTAGACAGATGCACCGATGGGTCACATTGCCTGAAAATGAGGACAGAAGGCTTTCCTTCAGGTGGACACATAAATCAGAACATTTCTTCTGTCCTAACAGTCACAGATCTCCTATCCAATTACAGGAAATAGTATATCATTGTATTGATGGACCAGGGCCCGTCATAACAAAACCCTGAAGTCTGGGGCAGCTTAAATGACAGAGATGAATTTCTTGCAGTATTGGAGGCTGAGGTCTAAGATCAAGGTGAGGGCAGATTTGCTTTCCATAGAGGCCTCTCTCCTTGGCTTGAAGCTAATCACCTCTTCTCACATAATATTCTGTCTGTGTGTCTTCATGACTCTATCCCAAGTTCTTTTTATAAAAATAGCAGTCATTTTCATTTAGCACCTATTCTAATGAATTCTTTTAATCAATTATATCTTTAAACATATCATCTCCAAGAGCAGTCACACTCTGGGGGACTGGGGAATCGAGACCTCAAAATATGAATATTGTGAGATGCAACTCAGTCTTCAACATACACATACTTTCTCTGAATAGGGAAATATTTCCTTACATTTAAGTCATGCAACCCCAATTTTTAACCACCCAAAGTAGACAAATTCCCTTTAAAATGAGGTACAGTTGAAAAGAAAAGAAAAGCTATTGATCTTATTTTCAATGTTGCCCTTTGCATAGTTGATTGGAAGCTGGAAATTCACTGAAGATTTCCTCTACCATTGGGTCTACAGCTGCAACTAACTACATCATTGTTCATTGCCAGATCAAAGTTGAGAGTTCTCATGCATACATGATGCTTCTGATCACAGTCATGTGTACAGGCAATCTGGGAAAGCCAGCTGCACTTCTGTTCCACTTTTCCTTCCTCAACAGTGTGGCTAGTGCGAAGGTACTGGGCATGCTGACATTTGAGCAGCTACGATGAGGCAGGGGTTGTCACAAGATTTTGTGAACCCCTAATTTGAGCAGCTTCTTAAAAATCATAACAGACTTTCCTACACTGAAGGGTTAGATGCACTTTAGGTGTCCCAAAATCATGCTCGGCAAGAGTCCTACCCCAAATAACCAGACATATATTCTACTTAAGGAAAAGCAACTACCTGCTCTCCCCTAATCCACCCCCAAGGCTCTCTTCCCTTCCAGCAGACCATAAACCCCAAGACTCTCATATATAAAAGCCTCTAGTTTCCTCTTCATTGCCATCAGTTTCCCTCTTTTTTTTGGTACTGGGGATCCGTGGCTGAACCACTTGAGCTAAACCCCACTTTTCCCTGTTTCCCTCCTTTTTAACAGTCCTAAATGTGGGTTAGACCACAGGAAAGCTACATTTTACAGATTAAGAAAGAACACTGGAAGGATTAAATGACTATTTTTAAATTACTAAATACATGGGACACAATGAAAGCAGTTCTACGCAGTAAAATTCATAGCAGTGAATGCCCATATTAGGAAAAGAGAGAGAACTCAGATAACCTAATGCAGAAACTCAAGCTCCTAGAAAAAGAAGAGCATAACAAACCAAAGCTCATACAAGAAAGGAAATTATAAAGATCAGAGCAGAAATCAGTGCAATGGAAACTAAGAGAATGATACAAAAAATTAATGAATCAAAGACTTGGTCTTTTGAAAGAATAAATGAAATCGATAAACCTTTAGCCAACCTTATCAAAAAATGGAAAGAAAAGGCTCAAATCCATGCAATTAAGAACAAAAAAGGTGAAGTCACAACAGACCCAGCAGAAATCTAGAGCATAATCAATACCTACTTCAAGAACCTGTACTCTAATAAAATGGAAAACACAGAAGAAATGGACAGATTCCTAGATACATATGAATTGCCAAAGTTAAGTGAAGAAGACATAGAAATTCTAAACACCCCAATTACAATGAGTGAAATCAAAAATACGATAAAAAATTCACTAACAAAGAAAAGCCCAGGTCCTGATGGCTTCACTGCTGAATTCTACAAGACATTTAAAGAACTACTGCCATTACTCTTTAAATTCATCAAGGAAATTGAAAGGGAAGCAAGGCTTTCAAATTCATTCCTGGAAGCAAGTGTTACTTTGATTTCAAAACCAGGGAAAGACCCAACCCAAAAAGAGAACTACAGACCAATCTCCCTAACGAACATAGATGCAAAAATCCTCAACAAGATACCAGCAAACAGAATACAGAGGGTCATCAAGAACATCATAGACCCTGACCAAGTCGGATTAATCACATGGATGCAAGGATGGTTCAACATTCGTAATTCAATAAATGTAATTCACTATATTAACAGAGTCAAGGACAAAAGCCATATGATCATCTCAATAGATGCAGAAAAGGCATTTCACAAAATGCAACACCGATTCATGATAAAAACGCTACAGAAAATTGGAATAGAAGGTCTTTATCTCAACCTGATTAAGGCTATCTATGAAAAACCAACAGCCAACATCATACTAAATGGTCAAAAACTGAAAACTTTCATGCTAAAACCAGGAACAAGACAAGGATGCCCACTATCACCACTCCTGTTCAATAGAGTTCTGGAAACGTTAGCCACAGCAATTAGAAAAGAGAAAGAAAAAAAAGGAATAAAGATAGGAAAGGAAGAAGTGAAACCGTCATTATTTGCTGATGATATGATACTTTACATAGAAGACCCAAAACACTCCACCAAAAGACTTCTAGACTAATTGACAGATTGAGTAGAGTAGCTGGATATAAGGTCAACTCAAAAAACAATAGCCTTCTTATACACAAATAGCAGACTCACTGAGAAATAAATTGGGGAAACAATTCCTTTTACAACAGCATGAAAAAAATGAAATATCTAGGAATCAACTTAACAAAGGAAGCAAAAGACCTCTACACTGAAAACTATAGCACTCTGAAAAAGGAGATCAAGGAGGATATAAGAAAATGGAAAGACATCCCTTGTAACTGAGTAGGAAGAACCAATATAGTGAAAATGGCCACACTTTCAAAACTACTATATAGATTTAATGCAATGCCGATTGTAATTCCAACAATATACTCACAGAACTAGAGAAAACAATCCAAAAATTCATTTGGAACCAGAAGAGACCTAGAATAGCTAAGGTAATTCTAGGCAACAGAGACATGGCTGGGGGTATCACAATCCCCAACTTGAAACTATACTACAAAGCTACTGTGACAAAAACAGCTTGGTACTGGCAAAGAAACAGACTTGAGGATCAGTGGAATAGATTAGAAGATGGGGAAACAATTCCAGACATACCCAGTCATCTCATCTTTGACAAAGGAGCCAACCACCATCACTGGGGGAAAGATAGCCTATTTAATAAATGGTGTTGGAAAAACTGGATTTCAACCTGCCAAAGACTAAAACTAGAACCATACCTATCACCATGCACTAAACTAAGATCAAAGTGGATTAAAGATCTAAATATTAAGACAGAAACTCTAAACTTGCTGCAAGATAAGTTAGGTAGAACTTTTGAAGACATTGACATAGGAAAAGACTTTATGAACAAAAACTCAGTAGCACGGGAACTAGCACAAAGAATCAACAACTGGGATCTCATTGTATTAAAAAGGTTCTGCACTGCACGAGAAACCACCAACAGAGCTGAGACAATCTACCATGTGGGAAAAGTTTTTTAGCAGCTGTACCTCAGAAAAAGGTCTTCTATCTAGAATTTATAAAGAACTGAAAAAAATCAGACCTCCCCAATTCAAAGACCCAATTCAAAAATGGGCATCTGAAATGAACAGACATTTCTCAGACAAAGAAGTAAAAGCAGAAAATAAACATATGACAAAATGTTCAACCTCACTGGTCATTTGAGAGATGCAGATGAAAACAACACTGAGATTCCACCTCACCCCAGAAAGAATGGCTGCTATCAAGAAATCAACCAATAGCAAATGCTGGTGGGGTGTGGAGAGAAAGGAACCCTTCTCCATTGTTGGTGCGAGTGTAGACTGGTGCAACCACTGTGGAAATCAGTGTGGAGATACCTCAAAGAACTAGGACTAGAGGTCCCATTTGACTCAGCTATTTATTCTCCTGGTGGGTATCTTCCCCAAAGAATTAAAAGAATCATACCACAGTGATATATGTGCAACCATGTTTATAAAGGCACAGTTTGTAATAGCTAAAGGATGGAAACAGCCCAAGTGCCCATCAACTGGAAATTGGATAAAGAGGATGTGGTTTTTTTTATTATAAAATGGAGTACTACTCAGCCATAGTGAATGAGAAACTATAGATATTTAGAGCTAAATGGATGCATAGTGAGGCCATACTCTTAAGTGAAATAAACAGGACACACATGTGTAAATACCAAATAATTTCTCTAGTGTGAGAAACTGAAAGTGTAAATAAAGATTAAAATGATTAAAATGAATAAATGATAATTTTAAACATTAAAAGGTCCAAACGTGTAGGGGTGGTAGAAGGGGAAGGGGAAAGGAAAGAGGGGAAAGGAAAATTATGAGAAAAGAAATAAATGGAAACGAAATCTATGTAAATAGGGAAGGGTGGAGGCGTGAAGGGTGCACAGGTAATGGGGGAAAAATAAGAACTAAGATACATCATGTACAGGTACAAGCACCCAATGATAAATGTAAATGTACTGTATACCTAAAATGTACCACTAAAAGAATTTTTAAAAATTACTAAATACAAATTCTGGGAATGAATATTAAATTTCTTCCATTATAAATATTAAAACTTTATGTAGTAGAGATGGCTTCAAAACCTGGTATACTTTGATATTGGCTGGCATACCACATAGTAAACATTTAATAACTTTTGCTGAACTAAATTGTGTCAAATATGCTCAGATCCTGTCCTGCCAGAAACAGACCCAATGAACGTGAGCTTTGGATTTTTCCTGCCAACTAGAGCTTCTGAAGCAGTATTTATTCCCAAACTTAAGCCCTTCGCTGGGGTATGACGTACTTGCTATTCACTTCCATCAGCTCCACATGTAGATCCTCATTTGCAACTGTGGTTGAGGACACACAAATATATCTCAAAGATGGACTC